CTTCTGAAGGTAATTGGTTGCACCAGATCTTATTTAGGGGCCTCATAGCAAAGGTGGTGAATACATATGTAAGCACCACTTTTCCATTATTTATTTTTTAGAATTTCTTGAAACAAGTTATTTTTTAAATTTCACTTCACCAATTTGGACTATTTTGTCTATGTCCATTACATGAAATCCAAATAAAACTCCATATAAATAACAGGTTGTAATGCAACAAAATAGGAAAAACGCCAATGGGGATGAATACTTTTGCAAGGCACTGTATTGTGTGGTTGTAGTAAGTTGTTGTGTTGTTGTGGTCAGTCGCTGTGGTCAGTAGTTGTGATCAGTAATTGAGTGGTTGTTTTCAGTAGTTGTGTGGTTGTGGTCAGTAGTTGTGTGTTCAATATTTGTGTGGTCAATTGTTGTGATCAGTAGTTGTGTGGTTGTGATCAGTAATTTTGTGGTCAGAAGTTGTGTAACTGTGGTCACAAGATGTGGTCAGCGGTTCAGTGGTTGTGGTCAGATGTTGTGTGGTTGTGGTGAGTAGTTGAGTGGTCAGTAGTTGTGTGGTCAGGAGTTGTGTGGTTGTGGTCTGTAATTGTGGTCAGTAGTTCTGGTCATTAGTTGTGTGGTTGTGTTCTGTAGGTGTGTGGTTGTGGTCATCAGTTATGTGGTTTTTGTCAGTAGTTGTTTGGTTGTGGTCAGTTGTGTGGTCAGTTGCTGTGTGGTCAGTCGTTATGATCAGTAGTTGTGTGGTTGTGATCAGTAGTTGTGGTGGTCAGTATTTGTGGTCATTAAATGTGTGGTCAGTAGTTGTGTGGTCAGAAGTTGTGTGGTAGTGGTCACAATATGTGGTCAGCAGTTGTGTGGTTGTGGTCAGTATTTGTGGTCAGTAGTTGTGTGGTCAGTAGTTGTGTGGTTGTGATCAGTAGTTGTGGTGGTCAGTAGGTGTGGTCATTAAATGTGTGGTCAGTAGTTGTGTAGTCAGAGGTTGTGATCAGTAGTTGTGTGGTCAGTATTTGTGGTTATTAAATGTTTGGTCAGACGTTGTGTGGTTGTGGTCAATAGTTCTGGTCATTAGTTGTGTGGTTGTGGTCATCCGTTGTGTGGTTGTGGTCAGTAGATGTGTGGTTGTGGTAAGTAATTATGGTTAGTAATTCTGGTAATCAGTTGTGTGGTTGTGGTCAGTAGATGTGTGCAGTAGTTGAGTGGTCAGTAGTTGTGTGGTCAGTAATTGTGTGGTTGTGGTAAGTTGTTGTGTTGATGTGGTCAGTAGTTGGGCTTAATAGTTGTGTGGTTGTGATCAGTAGTTGTGGTGGTCAGTAGTTCTGGTCAGTAGTTATGGTCTTTAAATGTGTGGTCAGTAGTGGTTGTGGTTGTGGTCATGAGGTCAGCAGTTGTGTGGTTGTGTTTAGAAGTTGTGTGTTTGTGGTCAGTAGTTTAGCTCAGTTGTTGAGTGGTCAGTAGTTGTGTGGTCAGTATTTGTGTGGATGTGGTAAGTAGTTGTGGTTAGTAGTTGTGTGGTTGTGGTCAGTAGTTTTGCTCAGTAGTTGTGTGGTTGTGGTCAGTAGCTTTGTAGTTCAGTAGTTGTGTGGTCAGTAGGTGTGGTCAGTAGTGTGGTCAGTAATTTTTCTCAGTAGTTGTCATCAGTTGTTGTGTGATTGTGATCTTTAGTTGTGGTCATAAGTTGTGGTCATGAGTTGTGTGGTTGTAGTCCGTAATTGTGGTCAATCTCTTCCCCCGCGTCATAATTTTTCCCTATGCTGCCACATTTGGTCCTCTCTGTCTGTTAGTTTCCATAGCAACTCTCCGTTTGTGCCGCTCAATGATTAGACAGAGAGCTATTAGCTGACTTTAGCTACCTACTTTTGTCACTCTAAACTCCGACAAACAGCTGTAACTTTAAATTGATGGAAGATTTTTCTGTTCGGATTTTTGCTTTGAAAAGCAGAGAAGTAGAGGAAGATTTCATGAGCCCTGTTTTTGTCTGACTTGTTGGGGGATTGGTCAAAACGGCAGTTGTTTGGAAAGAGTTGGTGAAAAATGTGTTAATGCATTTACTAAAACAGCTGTTTCGTTAGAAACATTGAAGATATTTTGGTTCCGTTGCTATATTTGAATGGTAGAGAAGTAGACAGTGTCATACCCTCTAACTTTTTTGTCTAACTTGTTTAGGAAGTGGTCAAAATGTCAGTTGTTTACAAAAAAGTTACTGACAATGTTGTTGATGCAGTTTCTAAAACAGCTGTAACTTTTTATCAGAATAAGAGGAGGTGGAGGATTAAGGAGGGAGGAGAAGGTGGAAAATAGTTTCCTAGGGTTAGAGGTAGAAGCTTGAAATTTTGAGTGGTAGAAAGTGGCTTTAGCAGCGGATACAGAGGAAGAGAAGGTAGAGAGGAGGGAGTAAAAGGATGGACCTCCAGAAGTTTAGTTTTCCTCAATATTTGCTCAGCTGCCCACAGCCCTGTTCTGTAAGCTCGCAATGAGTCACTCAGCCACAGAACAGGAGGGGAGGTCCGAGCTGGCCGGGAGGAAAGGGGACAGTGTGAGTCATAGGATGCGGAAAGGGAGGAGAGTAGGTTCGAAGAGGCAGAATCAGGAGACAGGAGGGAGAAGGATTTAGCAGAAGGGAGAGATGATTGGATAGAAGAGGAGAGAGTAGTGGTAGAGAGAGAGCGACGGCGCATGACCATCTGGGTAGGGGCTGAGTGGTTAGGGTTGGAGGAAAGGGAGACAGAAAAGGAAACAAAGGAGTGTTCAGAGACGTGGAGGTGGGTTGCAGTGGGATTAGTAGGCGAGCAGCCTCTAGTAAAGGTGAGGTCAAGCGTATTGCCTGCATTGTGAGTTGGAGGTGATTGGGAAAGGGTGAGGCCAAAAGAGGCAAGGAGGGGAAAGAGTGAGTTGTGTAATGTGTCATATTGAACTTTCTGAAGTCACAAAATACGTATGTGATTATAATGTGACGTCCCTGAGACATATTCAGTCACTGATATGGATGTAGTACAGGGGTCTCCAACCTTTTCTAACATGAGAGTAAAAAATTATTTTTGGTATTTTCCCGAATTCTGTTTTCTCAGTTTAATTGTTCCTGGTTTTTGCTTTGTTTTATGTTTTCTATTCTCAGTATTACAATTATTCATAGAGAAACAAATAGTCCATGTCAATGCTTAAATCACAGCAGAATAAAAATTTTCAGGTCTGGAAATTATGCATCTTGCAAGAGAGGAATGTGTGGGTATAACAATGTTTCTGCTGTTAGGCCTAGTGCTGCAGCACATGTCATGGCAGAGTTTGCAAAACAATGGCCACCCAATTTAAACAAATAATCATGATGTATAGTTCTGTCAGGTAAGCCTACTTTGCAGTTAACATTTAATTGAGAATGTTTTTGGGAAAGGTCTGTCTACTCTACCCACAAGACGGTTATCATTAGCACCGCTAACTGGCTATATACGGAGTAGTAGACAAACATGCGCACCAAACAGACAGATAGTGGCAGTATTGCTGGAAATTAATTGGCAGATATTGTGTTACGTTTTGATTTTTAAACCAATAGTAGCTAACCAGGAGTGAGAAAATGTCAATGTGGCTTTGATTGTATAGTAGCCCGGAGCTTTATGTTTATGACATTTTGTGATGGAAAAATGCATGTACTTTCAGAATTGATTGGCGAGCTACTCATAGGTGTGCTGCGAGCTACTGGTAGCTAGTGATCTAGCTGTTGGAGATCCCTGATGTACTATATCTCTCTTGTTTACGTGAGATCATGGATACTATCTGTCACCCCATCGTTTGTATGTGTGTGTATGTGTGCATATGCATGTGTGTTGTGTATGTCCTTAGTTCCTTTTACAACATGTTGCCTGTAATGACTGCTAATACGTTCCAAAGTTATTTTACCTCCAATTGCTTTCGATGCAATGTTTTGAAATCCCCACTCATAATATCAAACGTCAATCAATGTGACAGCTTTTGTTGTCTGTTATTTTCGGTTCAATTGGTTTATTGACATTATCTCTTCTCTCCATCTTTACAGTACAAACAAGTGGAGCAGTACATGTCATTCCACAAGCTACCTGCAGACATGCGGCAGAAGATACATGATTACTATGAGCATCGCTATCAGGGCAAGATCTTTGACGAGGACAATATCCTGAGTGAGCTCAACGACCCGCTCAAAGAGGTGAGAATGATGCCTTTTGTTTGAAGATGCAAAATATTTTTTGGGGTGAAATAAAACAGAAATAAGACAAAAAAACAGAAAACTTGAGCATGCATAACTATTCACCCCCCCAAAGTCAATACTTTGTAGAGCCACCTTTTGCAGCAATTACAGCTGCAAGTCTCTTGGGGAATGTCTCTATAAGCTTGGCACATCTAGCCACTGGGATTTTTGCCAATTCTTCAAGGCAAAACTGCTCCAGCTCATTCAAGTTGGATGGGTTCCGCTGGTGTATAGCAATCTTTAAGTCATACCACAGATTCTCAATTGGATTGAGGTCTGGGCTTTGACTAGGCCATTCCAAGACATTTAAATGTTTCCCCTTAAAACATTTTTTACATTTACATTTTAGTCATTTAGCAGACGCTCTTATCCAGAGCGACTTACAGTTAGTGAGTGCATACATTTTCATACTGGCCCCCCGTGGGAATCGAACCCACAACCCTGGCGTTGCAAGCGCCATGCTCTACCAACTGAGCTACACGGGGCCACCATACATAACATACAGAACTCACATTAAAATAATACTATTTGTTATGGTGTTTTATTTAACCAACAGAAAAAGGAAATTGGAGAACTCACAAAAAGACATTGCTTTCCTGTATTATTCAACTTTATGATTTTATATTAATCTGTCTAAAACCCAATAAACGAATTATTCATGAATTAAGTCTAATAGAGTAGAGGGACACGTCAGGGTTGACCGCTATCACTACCCTTATTCCCTTTTGTTATAGTCATAAAATATTTTAAGTATTTAAGTAGCAAACACTATATTTTCTTTCCTTTTTAGGAAATTGTGAACTTCAACTGCCGGAAGCTAGTGGCTACCATGCCACTGTTCGCCAACGCAGACCCCAACTTCGTGACGGGCATGTTGAGCAAGCTGAAGTTCGAGGTGTTCCAGCCCAACGATTACATAATCAGAGAGGGCACTGTGGGCAAGAAGATGTACTTCATCCAACATGGTGTGGCCAGTGTTATCACCAAGCTCAACAAAGAGATGAAGCTGACTGACGGCTCCTACTTTGGAGGTACGTAGAGAAAACAGAAAAACAAAGATATCCTGCATGTTTTCTACAGTACCGTTTTTCGCTTAGACAGACACCAAGCTATAATATGGTAACAGGGAACTGTTTCAAGGACCACTGTGAAGGCATACTCAGACTCACTCCATCCACTCAAATCCTCTTTTGCCTTTGCTTTGATGTTTGTCAAGTCCCATCACTGCAAATACATTTTTGGGGGACGGGAGTTAGCTTCTCAAATTACATAACGTTCATCTGGATGGGGTGGTGGAAGGCGGGGTTGATGGGGGTGAAGAGAGGACAAGCAAAGCCGGGGATCAGGGCTCAGATCACCCAGAGGACAAAAAGAGGTTGCATGTCTGTCTGCTCTGCGTTGGGCTCTGCAGCAGCAGCCAACAGAGAATGTTACTTTTGCATAATTGAGGGAGTAATCTCTCTAGCACGTTATACAAATCATCAAATATTTTTCCATCGTACGATTCATTTATAGGCAGTTGTTTACATTGGCACATTTTCTTGGGCGTCTCCTTGTTGTGCAAAAGAGAGAGAAGCAGGTTTTAACAATTTTTAGAGGGAGGTTTAATTTTTTATTTGATCCAAGTTCACTCCCCTCCCACCGAAAGACGACTTAAGATTCACGCTGTGTGGCGTGCAATCATGCAATCTTCTAGATAGATATGGCATGCCTTGGAAAAAAGCAGTGAATCAAGAAATTAATGAGTGGAGGATTTTTTCATTGAAACTCCCCAGCTGTCCGAAAAACCTCACATCCAATTATTTAATACCGTTGGTCCTCTGGTCCAAACGTCGAATTTAATTGAAACCAGGTAAAAACAGCCAAGCAATCAAAAACAGTAACTTACCATGCATTTGATGCATGTTAGATAAACAAATGTACTGTATTGTAATCAAATAAATTATTGACTAATATGAATTCCCTGAATTCATTTAGCTTTCATGTCATTATGTTCCTTGGGCACAGTCAGACTTGTCCTGTCCTGACACAGCACAAAGCAACACTGTAGACAGGGCTGAATCTGATTAGAACATAGTGGACCAGTGGGGGGAGTAACTAGAAATGGTAACACTTTACTTGACACAAAGCGTTATAGCACGTTATGACACATTCATAACCATGTCATAAATGTCATAACAGCTGACATAACTTGTCATAACCTGTTATAATATGGTCATAACACTTTCATGACACATATTTAGACCTGGTGTGACATATACTGTATTGCATTATTTAATGGCTGGTTATGGCTCCTACATCAGTGTCAAAACCCTCAGAACCTACCACACAAGGCAAAACATTCCATTACACCATAGCCTACGTGTCAACAGTATGTTTATGAAATGTTATATGTTTTGAAATTGACCATGTTAAATTATCATTGTAATTGCGCACACATTGATGTCAGACATGCACCTACCCCAATTCTCTGTTGCTGATGACTGCGATGAATGCAGGAGCAGATTTCAGGAGCAGGGCAAGACACCCTCTTTTTAACTGATGACTGATATAAGGGCATGTACATGATAAGCCTATCTGGCATATATGACTTTGATGGTCACAATGCTTCTTGAAAGTGTCATGAAGTGTATTTTCTTAGTCCAAGTAAAGTGACACAGGATGGTCATAATGCTTCATGACAGTGTCATAAAGTGTATTTTCTACAACTTATTTAAAATATGACTGTAAATAATTCATTACAGCAAAAACAAAGGATTTAAGAAACAAACTTCCAAATTGAAAGGAAACTTCTTGGCAGGGAAAAAAATAATTTGAATAAATGTGGGTTTCAACACTCTTATGTAGGTGTCAAAATCAGCCATAAAATAACACAATATACACTACCGTTCAAAAGATTGGGGTCACTTAGAAATGTCCTTGTTTTCCATGAAAACATACATGAAATGATTTTAAAATATAGCAAAATGAATAGGAAACCTCATTGATGAGGTTAGAAATAATGATTTTTGTGTCCTTCAAACTTTGCTTTCGTCAAAGAATCCTCCATTTGCAGCAATTACAGCCTTGCAGACCTTTGGCATTCTGGTTGTCAATTTGTTGAGGTAATCTGAAGAGATTTCATCCCATGCTTCCTGAAGCACCTCCCACAAGTTGGATTGGCTTGATGGGCACTTCTTACGGTCAAGCTGCTCCCACAACAGCTCAATAGGGTTGAGATCCGGTGACTGTGCTGGCCACTCCATTATAGACAGAATACCGGCCAACTGCTTCTTCCCTAAATAGTTCTTACATAGTTTGGAGCTGTGCTTTGGGTCATTGTCCTGTTGTAGGAGGAAATTGGCTCCAATCAAGCGCCGTCCACAGGGTATGGCATGGCGTTGCAAAATGGAGTGATAGCCTTCCTTCTTCAAGATCCCTTTTACACTGCACAAATCTCCTACTTTCACACCACCAAAGCACCCCCAGACCATCACATTGCCTCCGCCATGCTTGACAGATGGCATCAAGCACTCCTCCAGCATCTTTTCATTTGGTCTGCGTCTCACAAATGTTCTTCTTTGTGATCCGAACACCTCAAACTTCGATTCGTCTGTCGATAACACTTTTTTCCAATCTTCCTCTGTCCAGTGTCTGTGTTCTTTTGCCCATCTTAATCTTTTCTTTTCATTGGCCAGTCTGAGATATGGCTTTTTCTTTGCAACTCTGCCTAGAAGGTCAGCATCCCGGAGTCGCCTCTTCATTGTTGAGGTTGAGACTGGTGTTTTGCGGGTACTATTTAATGAAGCTGCCAGTTGAGGACCTGTGAGGCGTCTGTTTCTCAAACTAGACACTCTAATGTATTTGTCATCTTGCTCAGTTGTGCACCGGGGACTCCCACTCCTCTTTCTATTCTGGTTAGAGCCAGTTTGCGCTGTTCTGTGAAGGGAGTAGTACACAGCGTTGTACGAGATCTTCAGTTTCTTGACAATTTCTTCATTTCTCAGAACAAGAATAGACTGATGAGTTTCAGAAGAAAGTTCTTTGTTTCTGGCCATTTTGAGCCTGTAATTGAACCCACAATTCCTGATGCTCCAGATACTCAACTAGTCTCAAGAAGGCCAGTTGTATTGCTTCTTTAATCAGCACAACAGTTTTCAGCTGTGCTAACATAATTGCAAAAGGGGTTTTCTAATGATCAATTAGCCTTTTAAAATGATAAACTTGGATTAGCAAACACAACGTGCCATTGGAACACAGGACTGATGGTTCCACCTTAACGATAAAGAAAGCTGTCAAAGGTTATATAGTTTTGTCGTGACTGCCTAAATTATTTTTATGTGACTTTCTACTCAGATAGCGTACCTTGAACGCCCCCCTGTTTTATAGAGACTATTTCAAAGATGTACTCTACAGTATTTCATGATTCTCCGGTCCTCTCAGACATAATTCATTCAGACAATTCATAAGTTTATACGCATACACACTAGGCAGAAGACACATTTTTTATTCTATTTTATTCTATTCTACACAACAGCAGTTTTATAGCAGTTGGCAGTGCAGCCAGGGACAATGACTAATAGTAATAGCAGTGAGAGATGATCTGTGCTTATATGAGCAAGAGTCATGGCAGCCTAGAGACCTGTGACTTTAAAAGGTGAACCAGGGGGCAAATGAAGGCCGTAATCAGAATGGGTCACAGCGAGGGTGCAGTTGGCAGCTCTGTCTAGGGGTTGTACTCTAGTGTACTGCTTCAGCTCTGCACTTTTTGGGGACGTCCGAAATGGCACCCTATTCCCCATATAGTGTACTACTTTTGACCAAGGCCCGTAAGGCTCTGGTCAAAAGTAATGCACTATATAGGGAATAATGTGCCATTTGGGACGTAGAATGTATTTATCCCAGTTATTTCAGGGGTTATGTCACCAGTGAACTCTGTTTAGTTTGAGCTTGGTGTGTGTGGTGGTGGTGTGTATTGTAAGCCCCCAAATGGATGGGAACTCTAATTGAAATTAAACAAAGCTTTCCCTTTTTTTGATGCACAAGGGGTGTGTGTGTGTGTGTGTGTGTGTGTGTGTGTGTGTGTGTGTGTGTGTGTGTGTGTGTGTGTGTGTGTGTGTGTGTGTGTGTGTGTGTGTGTGTGTGTGTGTGTGTGTGCGTGCTGCTCGTGTGTGTGTAGCCAGTCATTCTACCACGTTATGCTGAAACCAGCCACCTGCTCTGGCCAGCTGCCCATCTGGTGGGTAGTGATATTTTTACCTCGTCCGTTGGTCGTTGCATGAGTATGGCATTAAGAGATGAGCTCTGACTTGGGAGCTGGTCCAGTCAGGAACCTCAGTACTACCCCTCCATTGAACCACACTATCAGCATCATAATATAGCGGCCATAGCCCAAAACTGGCAAAACACAGAGGACCAGGCCGTAACCAGCAAGGCTAGCTACGCCCAGTGCCACTATATATTGAATATCATTACCATATTGAATATTGGGTTAGCATTAGTCAGGAGACTCACTACTTCCCCTCAACTAAACCACACTATCAAAATCATAACATAGCCCAGCTCTGGTCAACAACAGAGGAGAGGACCAGGCCATAACCTCCATGACTAGTCTACACCCAATGCTACTGGATATAGCATTAGCATTGACCAACCGCTGTTAAATCTAGCATAGTAAGATCAATTAATTAATTAATCTTAAGAACATTATATGGGATACTAAACAGCACTCCTGAAACCAACCACTGTTAGTGTCACACACACCTACAAACTAGCATTAGCATGCTAATCACCATTTATGTGCATGGCTTTTCAAATATCCCCCCAGTGCCTGGCTATAGCTACTCTCAATAGACTAGCATTTAGATGACATATCGTCATACAATAAGATCAATGACAGATAGTTGGTTAACAATCCTCTATAGGATTTTGCATTGATTGTATCCATGGCACTTACTGTACACTAGCCAGGGGGAGGCAGGGGGAGGGTAGGGGGGGGGGGGGGTGGTGGTCCATGGGGAACTGAGATGTATGACACATGAAGTGATGGCAAATTACCCACAGTTCCCCAGGGGTCAATGGTGATGACATGTGACTGGAAGGGGCGATGAAGAGACACATCAGATCATGTGGAGCGGTACTAACCGGCGAGTCACACTCTCCCAGGCCTCACACTTCGAGGCCTGGTTGTCCAGATGACTTGTCTACCTCGTTCCAACACCAGATCTGGTTTCAAATACTATGAATATTATTTGAACCCAGGTCTGCTTGTCGTCCAGATGACTTCGCTACAAGGATGGGTGCCTGGGCTCTTTTCCCACACTGTTTGCCCTGAAGGAAATACAGGACAGAAGAGCTAAGCTAACTGATTGTCCACTCATTTGTGAGAGTGACAGAAACACCTTCTCATTGCTCGCTCACTCAGGTGGCTAACAGCTAACCTTCCTCCTTTCCTCTGGGCTGCAGCCACAAACTGTAAAATAATACAATTAACTCCAGATATGACCAACTCTATATCTGCTCTCAGCTGCAGTGCATTTCTTACAGCTAGCTCATTATTTTTTGTCTCTCTCTTTCTCTATGAATAGTGTACTCTCTGTTGGAGTGGGATGGTAAGGAAGTAATTCGAGTGAAGCGGTTATGGGGACATATGGGGGATGGTGTGACAGTGTGGCAGTTCGGCTCTGGCTGTGTCCCAGATGGCATTTCCTATGCAGTGCATTACTTTTGACAAGAGCCCTATATACACTACATAGGGAATAGGGTGCCATTTCAGATGCATCCAGTGTGGCCCCCTCCTGTCATATTGCAGGAGGGGGTCTGTGCCAACAGAGATTGCATTTCTGAGGAGTTTTCCTTTGTAAGAGCACTAACACCTTGTTCACACTCGCAGCTTGAGCGTGCTGTTTTCACATCCTGCGGGCTATGGCAGTCAGGCTCTAGCAGCTAACGCTTTTCACAGAGGAAATCTAGGCTGTGAATGTCAAGGGCATTGTCCTCAATCAATACCTATTTTCATTCACTGTGCTTCGAATATGACTCACTGTTCTGTTCTAAAGAAAATATTGCAGTATAGGGACATGTTTGTCTATACACTATCAATAAGTAGTAACCCTAGCATCAGCTAGCATCAGATGTGCAAGGTTTACTTTCACAGTGACCCTCTTTTCTGATAGGTCTGTTTGGATGGTCTGACCCCACAGTAGCAGGGTTGATAACTACCTTTCCTGAATTAGATCAAAGAATAGCGTTAGTCAAATTGAGGGGTAACATGTCCAAGGGCAGAGGGATTGGTCCAGGAATTAGGGAGGCAAGTCTAGCACATAATGTCCCAGTGGCTAACATATTGTACATGCCATCTGGGTGGGTACTGAAGGTCTGGGATAGGGAACAGGGCATCAGCAGAGTTCTGTCTACCATTTCGATATGAAGCAAAAGTATGGGAACTACACTCTCTACATACAGACCAGGCAGTGCTTGAATTGGGCAGGAGCTCACCGGAGCTGAGTACCGGCACCTCCATTTTTTTACTGCTTGAGCTCCTTTTCCTCACATAGAATATAAACTGAAAAGTGTTGCGGAGATCCTGCAACTATATATAAACAGTACCGGCATCCAAAATGAATACAAGCACCTATTTCAGTCCAAGTCAAGCACTGAGGCCAGGATTCAATCGAGCAAATATTAACTATACCTGTGCACAGCGATAGACTTTTAAAGGCAATTGCCCTGATGATCACTGAGATCATGGTCGCTGCAATTGCTGTGGAATGTAGGCTCCAATCACAGTTCACAAGGTTGTTTATCTGTGTTTGTTTGAATCCTGGGCACTGTGTCAGTAATGTCAGTAATAATTGCGCCGGAGGGGATGGCTGCCGTTTTACGGGCTCCTAACCAACTGTGCTATTTTGTTAGTTTTTTCACATTGTTTGTAACTTATTTTGTACATACAGTTGCTGCTACTGTCTCTTATGACAGAAAAGAGCTTATGGACATCAGAACAGCGATTACTCACCTCAAACTGGACAAAGATTTTTTCTTTAATGAGTCCGACGCGAAAGATATACTGCTGTCCGGAGACCAGGCCCAAATCCCTTCATTTGCGTGAAGAAAAGGCGGAGATATAGAGGGAGAAGGTCGGGGTGCCTTGTTAGGATTCGTAGGCGAGTGAGTAAATCGCCATTACCTTCGGTTCTATTGGCCAACGTGCAATCACTGGAAAATAAACTTGATGATCTACGGTCGAGACTATCCTACCAAAGGGCCATTAAATACTGTAATATCTTATGTTTCATGCATCAGCAGGACAGAGCAGCTACGTCTGGTAAGACGAGGGGCGGTGACTCGCTCAATACTGAAGTGGTCAGATGACGCGGATGCTCTGCTAGCACAGACTGGAATATGTTCCGTGATTCATCCAATGACATTGAGGAGTATACCACCTCAGTCACCTGTGTCGTGACTTTAACATTAATCTGAAGACTGTTATTTCTCTAATTAACTAACTATGTTTAATTGTTACCTTATTAAATTAATTATGTAACAATTAACTCATTATGATCTGGGGCACCACGAGAGTGGTTCTTTAAAGAGTTACCATCTACCGAATTAAACTCTAAAAAGGTGTTTACCTATCACATCTATAAACAGTCAATTTATTAATCATAACCTCGTATCATATCATCATTCTGAACAGTTATAACCTCCTTGCATCTGAAAACCCAGAGCCTTACTTATGATTCAGTACTACACAAACTGGTTTAATTCTTTATTTACTAGCTAATTAAATGGGAACACAGGATAAACACACACACTCTGCAAAGGTTATTGACTGGCGACTTAATACGTTGAAAACAGATCCCTAGTGGAATGACAACAACATGGATGCTAGTTAAAGAAGAGATGGAGTGAGAGAGGGACAGAGACACTTAACATTGCCAAATTCAGAAACATTAACCAGGTAGGCCTGATCACCGACAATGATGAGACAACCTATAGGGAGGAGGTCAGAGACCTGGCAGTGTGGTGCCAGGACAACAACCTCTCCCTCAATGTGAGCAAGACAATGGAGCTGATCGTGGACTACAGGAAAAGGCCCACATTAACATTGACGGGGCTTTAGTGGAGCGGGTCGAGAGTTTCAAGTTCCTTGGTGTCCACATCACCAACAAACTATCATGGTCCAAACACACCAAGACAGTCGTGAAGAGGGCACGACAACACCTTTTCCCCCTCAGGAGACTGAAAAGATTTGGCATGGGTCCCCAGATCCTCAAAAGGTTCTACAGCTGCACCATCGAGAGCATCCTGACCGGTTGCATCAACGCCTGGTATGGCAACTGCTCGGCATCTGACCGTAAGGCGCTACAGAGGGTAGTGCGTACGGCCCAGTACATCACTGGGGCCAAGCTTCCTGGCATCCAGGTACCTATATACTAGGCGGTGTCAGAGGAAGGCCCAAAATATTGTCAAAGACTCCAGTCACCCAAGTCATAGACTGTTCTCTATGCTACCGCACAGCAAGCGGTACCGAAGTCTAGAACCAAAATGCTCCTTAACAGCTTCTACCCCCAAGCAATAAGACTGGTGAACAATTAATCACATGAACACCGGGACTATTTACATTGACACCTCCACCCTCCCTTTGTTTTTACTCTGCTGCTACTCGCTGTTTATTATCTATGCATAGTCACTTTACCCCTACCTACATGTACAAATTATCTCGACTAACCTGTACCCCCGCACATTGACTCGGTACCGGTGCCAACTGTATATAGCCTCGTTATTGTTATTTTATTGTGTTACTTTTTATTTTTTACTTTAGTTTATTTAGTAAATATTTTCTTAACTCTATTTCTTGAACTGCATTGTTGGTTAAGGGCTTGTAAGTAAGCATTTCACGGTAAGGTCTACACCTGTTGTATTCGGCGCATGTGACAAATAAAAATTGATTTGAGTTGATTTGATTTATACTGTACATACTCTACACTAGACAGCAGCAGTAACAGCAGCCAGCAGTACATACAGTGACTTTTCCAACTCATTAGCTCAAAGTGACAACATGATGAATTGACTCTCCATAGCTCTAGTGACAACGCAGCAGCCATCGCTTTATTTACATGCACATTAGGTTCTCATGCCACCAGATCCAGCTGTACCTTGGAAACTGCTCATTCTTCATTTATATGGTCATTTGTCCCATGTTGGAGGTTGCCCACCCCAGATTGAGTTAGATCTGGTCTTTGTTAGGGCTGTAATTACTCAGTCCGTTGCTTCCTCCCTCCCTGTGTGTCTATCAGAGATCTCCAGTACTAACAAACAAAGGTATTACTGACAATGGATGTACGCATTTTGGCCATGAAGCCTTATTCAGCATAGAGACCAAACAGAACGTGTTTTTATTTTATTTATTTTATTTCACCTTTATTTAACCAGCTAAGCCAGTTGAGAACAAGTTCTCATTTACAACTGCGACCTGGCCAAGATAAAGCAAAGCAGTGCGATAAAAACAACAACACAGAGTTACATATGGGGGTAAAAAAACATAAAGTCAAAAAATACAACAGAAAATATATATACAGTGTGTGCAAATGTAGCAAGTTATGGAGGTAAGGCAATAAATAGGCTATAGTGCAAAATAATTGTCAGTGTTGCTGTAGGTGGGTGTGGTGGTGGAATCAGGCGCAGGACGCAGAAAGTAAGTCCAAAAGACTTTAGTGGATGCACAAACACAAGCACGAATAAATGCCCTGAGGCGAGAACTCCGCACGCAGGCGAAAACAAAACGGGCGCACTAAACAGGTGCGACAAAACACTCCAACACAATGGAGAACAGCTCAACCGAGCAAACAGTATACGTACTAGCCAAACGCACGACAGTGAAAACAATCACACACAACACTTGACAAACACAAGGAGAACTTATAGGACACTAATGACACTAAACGATAACAGGTTTACAAATACCAGACCAGACCAAACGAACATAGAAACATACAACGGTGGCAGCTAGTATTCCGGAGACGACGAACGCCGAAGCCTGTCCGAGCAAGGAAGAGAGGCAGCCTCGGCCGAAACCGTGACAGTACCCCCCCCTTGACGCGCGGCTCCAGACGTGCGCTGACTCCGGCCTCGGGGACGACCAGGAGGACGCGGAGCAGGGTGCGTCGGGTGACCACGATGGAATTCCGTCAGGCGAGACGGGTCCAAAATGTCTCTCCTCGGCACCCAGCACCGTTCCTCCGGGCCGTACCCCTCCCACTCCACTAGATATTGGAGACCCCCCATCCGACGTCTCGAATCCAAGATGGACCGCACGGAGTACGCCGGTGCCCCCTCGATGTCCAATGGGGGCGGAGGAGTCTCCCTGATCTCATTTTCTTGGAGTGGGCCAGCTACCACCGGCCTGAGAAGAGACACATGGAACGAGGGGTTAATACTTTTATACTCAACAGGTAGTTGTAATCTGTAACACACCTCGTTCAATCTTCTCAGGACTTTAAATGGCCCTACAAACCGCCGACCCAGTTTCCGACAGGGCAGGCGGAGGGGCAGGTTTCTGGTAGAGAGCCAGACTCGATCACCAGGTGCGTACACCGGTCCCTCACTGCGGTGGAGATCGGCGCTCGCCTTTTGACGACGGAGGGCCCGCTGCAGGTGGACGTGTGCAGCGTTCCATGTCTCCTCCGAGCGCCGCACCCACTCATCCACCGCAGGAGCCTCGATCTGGCTCTGCTGCCAAGGTGCCAGAACCGGCTGGTAACCTAACACACATTGGAAAGGGGTTAGGTTAGTGGAGGAATGGCGTAGGGAATTCTGGGCCATTTCGGCCCAGGGAACGTACCTTACCCACTCCTCCGGCCGGTCCTGGCAGTATGTTCTAAGAAACCTACCCACATCCTGGTTCACACGTTCCACCTGCCCATTACTCTCCGGGTGGTAACCCGAGGTGAGGCTCACCGAGACCCCCAACCGCTCCATAAAAGCTCTCCAGACTCTGGAGGTAAATTGGGGACCTCGATCAGACACAATATCCTCGGGTACCCCGTAGTGCCGGAACACATGGGTGAATAGCGCTTCGGCGGTCTTCAGGGCAGTAGGAAGGCCCGGCATAGGGAGCAAACGACAGGCCTTAGAGAACCGGTCCACAACGACCAGTATAGTGGTATTCCCCTGTGAAGGAGGAAGGTCAGTGATGAAATCCACCGAGAGGTGAGACCATGGTCGTTGTGGAACGGGCAGGGGTAGTAACTTACCCCTAGGCAGATGTCTAGGCGCCTTACACTGGGCGCACACGAGCAGGAGGAAACATAAACCCTCACATCCCTCGCCAACGTGGGCCACCAGTACTTAGCACTAAGACAGTGCACTGTCCGGCCGATACCAGGGTGTCCAGAGGAGGGTGACGTGTGAGCCCAATAGATCAATCGATCCCGAATCTCGAGCGGAACGTACTTCCGACCCTCCGGGCATTGAGGTGGACTAGGGTCGGTGCGTAACGCCCGCTCGAGTTCAGCATCGACCTCCCACACTACCGGTGCCACCAGACAAGACTCCGGCAGTATGGGAGTGGGCTCCACGGACCTCTCCTCCGTGTCATACCGCCGAGACAGTGCGTCTGCCTTACCGTTCTGTGACCCAGGGATGTACGTGATCTTAAATATGAACCGGGTCAAAAACATATTCCACCGCGCCTGGCGAGGGTTCAGTCTCCTCGCTGCCCGGATGTACTCCAGGTTACGGTGGTCCGTCAAAATGAGGAAAGGGTGTTGAGCCCCCTCAAGCCAGTGCCTCCACACCTTTAGGGCCTGTACCACGGCTAACAGCTCCCTGTCCCCTACGTCATAATTTCGCTCCGCCGGACTGAGCTTCTTGGAATTAAAAGCACAGGGGCGGAGTTTAGGTGGCGCGCCGGACCGTTGCGAAAGCAACGGCCTCTGACGCGTCCACCTCTACCTGAAATGGTAAAGAGGGATCCGGATGCGCCAGCACCGGGGCCGAGGTAAACAGGTCCTTCAGCCTCCCAAACGCCCTGTCCGCCTCGGCTGACCACTGCAGACGCACCGGACCCCCCTTCAAAAGAGACGTTATGGTAGCTGCCACCTGTCCAAAACACCGGATAAACCTCCGGTAGTAATTCGCAAACCCCAAAAACTGCTGCACCTCCTTCACAGTGGTTGGCGTTTGCCAATTACGCACGGCGGACACCCGGTCTACCTCGATCTTCACCCCTGACGCAGACAACTGATAACCCAAAAAGGAGACCGACTCCTGGAAAAACAGACACTTCTCTGCCTTGACATACAGGTCGTGCTCCAACAGCCTCCGCAACACTCGGCGCACCAGGGCCACATGCTCGACTCGGGTAGACGAGTACACGAGAATGTCATCTATGTACACGACCACCCCCTGCCCCTGCATGTCCCTGAAGATCTCATCCACGAATGATTGGAAAACTGAAGGAGCGTTCATCAACCCGTATGGCATGACAAGATACTCGTAATGGCCCGAGGTGGTACTAAAGGCTGTCTTCCATTCATCGCCCCCCCTAATGCGCACCAAGTTGTACGCGCTCCTGAGATCTAATTTAGTGAAGAAACGCGCCCCGTGCAATGACTCCGTCATGGTCGCAATCAGCGGGAGTGGATAACTGTACTTCACCGTGATCTGATTGAGACCACGGTAATCAATGCACGGGCGTAACCCACCATCCTTTTTCTTCACAAAAAAGAAACTCGAGGACGCAGGGGAAGTGGAGGGCTGTATGTATCCTTGTCTCAGAGATTCGTCTATGTAAGTCTCCATAGCTCTCTTCTCCTCCTGAGACAGAGGATACACATGGCTCCGTGGGAGCACAGCTCCTGCCTGGAGGTCTATCGCACAATCTCCCTGTCTATGGGGAGGCAACTGCGTCGCCCTCGACTTACTGAACACAATAGCCAAATCCCCATACTCAGGGGGAACGTGCAATGCGGGCACCTGGTTTGGACTCTCCACCGAGGTAGCCCCTACGGAAACGCCTAAACATCGACCCACACACTGAGCAGACCACTCCATCAGAGCCCTCTCCTGCCACGAAATAGACGGGTTATGGGTACTCAACCAGGGCATGCCCAGCACCACCGGATACGCAGGCGAGTCGATCAGAAATAGCTGGATCATCTCCTGATGACCCCCCTGCGCACACATCCTAAGTGGCGCCGTGACCTCCCTGATCAAGCCCGCACCCAACGGACGGCTATCTAGGGCATGAACGGGGAAGGGGACGTCAACAGGGAGAAGGGGAATCCCTAAGGCTAAACAAAATCTCTTATCAACAAAATTCCCAGCCGCGCCTGAATCTACCAGCGCCTTATGCTGGGAATGAGGTGCGACCTGTGGAAAACGCACAGGTATACAGAAGTGCGCAACAGAGAGCACTGGGTGAGTGGGGCGCCTACTCACCTGGAAGGGCTCCCCAGTGCGGGGCCTGTCGTCTTCTCCCCTAGGAGGCCATCCCCAGCACCTAGCCGCGGTGTGTCCTCCCCGACCACAGTTGGTGCAGGAGATGGACCCCCTCGTACTCCGACCCCTCCTCTCTCTAGCGCCAGCGCCCCCGAGCTCCATGGGGCACGGCTCGGAGGCGCTGGAGGGTGAAATGGACGGACCCCCCTCGGGACGTCCGCGGGTAGCTAGCAGGGTATCCAGCCTGATGGACATGTCGACTAACTGGTCGAACGAGAGGCTGGTGTCCCGACAGGCCAGCTCCCTACGGACGTCCTCACGTAGACTACAGCAGTAGTGATCAATGAGGGCCCGCTCATTCCACCCTGCATCCGCCGCTAGAGTCCGGAATTCCAACGCGAACTCCTGGGCACTCCTCTTCCCCTGCCGGAGGCAGAACAGACGCTCCCCCGCCGCTTTCCCCTCCGGGGGATGGTCAAACACCGCCCTGAAGCGGCGGGAGAACTCGGCGTACGTGATGGTGGTAGCGTCTATTCTCCTCCACTCGGCGTTGGCCCATTCTAACGCTTTGCCGGAAAGGCAGGAGATCAGGGCGGACACGCTCTCGTGTCCCGAGGGCGCCGGGTGCACGGTGGCCAGGTAAAGCTCCACCTGGAGAAGGAAGCCCTGACACCCGGCAGCGGTCCCATCGTAGGCCCTCGGGAGCGAGAGTCGAACTCCTCTGGGTTCCGGAGCGGGAATGGGCTGACTTGCCGATGGTGAGGGCAGGGAAGATGGCGTTGGGGGTGTCCCTCGGGTCTCCCAGCGTTGGAGGGTGGTGATCACCTCCTGCAGGGCGGACCCCATCCGCAGGATCTGGTCATTCTGTTCCCGGACCCTGTCCTCCAACGTCTCCTGTGCTGCTGCAGCTCCTGCTGATTCCATTCGAGCAGGTGTGTGATTCTGTCAGTGTTGCTGTAGGTGGGTGTGGTGGTGGAATCAGGCGCAGGACGCAGAAAGTAAGTCCAAAAGACTTTAGTGGATGCACAAACACAAGCACGAATAAATGCCCTGAGGCGAGAACTCCGCACGCAGGCGAAAACAAAACGGGCGCACTAAACAGGTGCGACAAAACACTCCAACACAATGGAGAACAGCTCAACCGAGCAAACAGTATACGTACTAGCCAAACGCACAACAGTGAAAACAATCACACACAACACTTGACAAACACAAGGAGAACTTATAGGACACTAATGACACTAAACGATAACAGGTGTACAAATACCAGACCAGACCAAACGAACATAGAAACATACAACGGTGGCAGCTAGTATTCCGGAGACGACGAACGCCGAAGCCTGCCCGAGCAAGGAAGAGAGGCAGCCTCGGCCGAAACTGTGACAATAATTACAATTAGTGTTAACACTGGAATGCTAGATGTGCAAGAGATTATGTGCAAATAGAGATACTGGGGTGCAAAAGAGCAAAATAAATAACAATATAGGGATAAGGTAGTTGGGTGGGCTAATTTCAGATGGGCTGTGTACAGGTGCAGTGATCGGTAAGGTGCTCTGACAACTGATGCTTAAAGTTAGTGAGGGAGATAAGAGTCTCCAGCTTCAGAGATTTTTGCAATTCGTTCCAGTCATTGGCAGCAGAGAACTGGAAGGAATGGCGGCCAAAGGAGGTGTTGGCTTTGGGAATGACCAGTGAGAAATACCTGCTGGAGCGCAGAATACGGGTGGGTGCTGCTATGGTGACCAATGAGCTAAGATAAGGCGGGGATTTGCCTAGCAGTGATTTATAGATGGCCTGGAGCCAGTGGGTTTGACGACGAACATGTAGTGAGGACCAGCCAACAAGAGCGTACAGGTCACAGTGGTGGGTAGTGTATGGGGCTTTGGAGACAAAACGGATGGCACTGTGATAGACTACATCCAATTTGCTGAGTAGAGTGTTGGAGGCTATTTTGTAAATGACATCGCCAAAGTCAAGGATCGGTAGGGTAGTCAGTTTTACGAGGGCATGTTTGGCAGCATGAGTGAAGGAGGCTTTGTTGCGAAATAGGAAGCCGATTCTAGATTTAACTTTGGATTGGAGATTCTTAATGTGAGTCTGGAAGGAGAGTTTACAGTCTAACCAGACACCTAGGTATTTGTAGTTGTCCACAAACTCTAGGTCAGACCCGTCGAGAGTGGTGATTCTAGTCGGGTGGGCGGGTGCCAGCAGCGTTCGATTGAAGAGCATGCATTTAGTTTTACTAGTGTTTAAGAGCAGTTGGAGGCTACTGAAGGAGTGTTGTATGGCATTGAAGCTCGTTTGGAGGTTTGTTAACACAGTGTCCAATGAAGGGCCAGATGTATACAAAATGGTGTCGTCTGCGTAGAGGTGGATCTGAGAGTCACCAGCAGCAAGAGCGACATCATTGATATATACGGAGAAAAGAGTCGGCCCAAGAATTGAACCCTGTGGCACCCCCATAGAGACTGCCATAGGTCCAGACAACAGGCCCTCCGATTTCACACATTGAACTGAGAAGTAGTTGGTGAACCAGGCGAGGCAGTCATTTGAGAAACCAAGGCTATTTAGTCTGCCAATAAGATTGCGGTGGTTGACAGAGTCAAAAGCCTTGGCCAGGTCGATGAAGACGGCTGCACAGTACTGTCTATTATCGATCGCGGTTATAATTTCGTTTAGGACCTTGAGCGTGGCTGAAGTGCACCCATGACCAGCTCGGAAACCGGATTGCATAGCGGAGAAGGTACGGTGGGATTCGAAATGGTCGGTGATCTGTTTGTTAACTTGGCTTTCAAATACTTTCCAAAGGCAGGGCAGGATGGATATAGGTCTGTAACAGTTTGGATCTACAGTGTCACCCCCTTTGAAGAGGGGGATGACCGCGGCAGCTTTCCAATCATTATAAGTAGTGTACACACATCCAGTAGTAATGAAAGAAAGATAAGATACCCGCAGACATACCCTAGGTCTTCTTGCACAATAAAACTACGGGAGCGTTCGAAAGTGTGTGGGTATCTATCTTTCTTTCATGATCAAACAGAAACAGTGCATTACTTCAGTGACATCAAAAAATAAGAGTTGAGCTTATTGTCTTATTGTGCATTCTGTATTTTCTCTACAGAGATTTGTCTGCTGACGAAGGGGAGACGCACGGCCAGCGTTCGTGCTGACACCTACTGCCGTCTCTTCTCCCTCTCTGTGGACCACTTCAACGAGGTGTTGGAGGAGTACCCCATGATGCGCCGCGCCTTCGAGACTGTAGCCATCGACCGCCTGGACCGCATCGGTAAGACCATGACCACACCACATACTGTACTGTGTTGGGTTGGTGCCCTGTCATGCCCTGCCTGTGCCGTGTCATGTGTATCTATCTGTTTTCATCATGTCCGTCTGCCATCGCGATGCATGACCTGTAAGCTGCACACTCTTTGTTCTTTCATTCCTCCTCTCTTTCCATCAAATTACCTTAATTTTACAATCATTTTTACAATGGTAACATTGATTGTTTAAAAAAGTTAAGTCAAACTCCAATTGTGTTAATAAATGGAAGTCAGTGGCAATGTATTTCACTGTCTATCCGGTAGGGTGTCAGATCCGTCCCTTCTTTGGTTTGGTGTTGACCCCCAACTGGAATCCCTTCCGGCGAGTGGACGGAAGCTAGAACTCATTTGCATGTGCCTCCGTATTCATTCACCTGCACACCTAGGTATGAGCAGCACCCCGACCCCGTCCCAAGGTCCAGCCCAGCCAGAGCAGCCAAAGACTGGCCTAGCCCCCAACCAGGGGCCCTGAGCTGGGCACATGACACTATGGAGGAAGGACAGGGAACCAGAGGCCTCAAAGTTGGCCAGCTTTACCAGGCACGGCTTGTAACTCCCCTTATCTTCTGTTAAGGTTGAAACATTTGTGAAACTTTCCACAAAATTCCCAGGTTTTCCAGAAATCCCGGATGGGATATTCCTGAATTCAGGAGGGAATACGCAGGAAATGTGGGAATCCTCCAACCTGGATTTCTGTGAAACTTGGGAATTTGTGGAAAGTTACTGGATTGTTGCAACCCTAGATACTGCCAAGCCATATTCCTTTCTTAGAACAACATAGACAAACTTGGCCATTATTAGTGACCATTTAACTAAAGTCATAATGAACGATAATCAATAAATCTGATAGAAACATAATTACTATAACGATTGAAAAAAGGGGCACATGTATGTAATGCCACCAGGGCATTTATTTGTTTTTTATGCTGTTTTTTTCTAAATAACTTTTCAATTTTAAAGTATTTTTTTTTAAATGAATTTGCTCATAATATACTATATTTATCAATATTTGGGAAATATTCTGATATAATCTGGTCTAGCTATTTCTCCTTAATTGAGTGCTTTATAACTACAAATATTATCGGATATGTTTCTGGAGAGGTTGCCTGCAAAACTCACATTTCAACATGGCCACACACTCATACAAAGTACAAAGCATATAGCATCTAACACTTGTAGAATATTGCACTAGTAATGCATATAAGTAATGCATTTGTATTGAAAAAGCACCCCTTTCATATTCTGTGCCGTCCTAAGACGGCCATTATATCTTTCCATATGAAGTCTATTACCTTTTATCTTTAAAGGACAAAATACAGCCGATAGCTTGGTAAACTATACTTTATTATGTTCCAAGTGCCTTTGTCAGGTTTTAGATTTTAACAGAAGTACGAAGTTAACTGATGTCGTATGCAATATTATTCTTTTTAGAGAGCACATTTTCGGTCTCTCAACTTCAGTTTCTGCATTGAGAGGTTGATAGGGATGTTAGAATATTTTGTTTCTCCATGTGAGTCTTACTTTCATATTGTACACATACTTTATTTTGCCCCCATTTATTCCCCAGGCCTCTAGTCAATTATTTTCTGCTTTTGAATTTCCACTTTCTTGAAGGATGTTAAGCCATACTTTGGCCCATCTAGCCTTGTTTTAACCTATGAGAAACATATATCTTGACATAACTTATAGTAGATTCCTTAAAATAAACATTAGCTATTTCAAACATTACATTCTAATATAATTGTTTTAATAAATCAGACACAATATTGAAAAGAGTCTATAAGCATAAAGCATGAAAAAGCAATGGACCATTACCGAAAGAAAATAGGAGTGGTTGGGGATATTTATCATCATAAAGTATGGTAAGTGCTAGAGACTTGTTAAAATGAGTTATTAAGCAAGAACTCTGCGACATTTGTATAAATTGCATGGCCTAACATTTGATCTATAACAAATCATACAAAATTACACTTTTATCACAATATCTACAGTGCCTTCGGAAAGTATTCAGACCCCTTGACTTTTTCCACATTTTGTTAAGTTACAGCCTCATTCTAGAATTGATCAAATTGTTTTTTTCCTCATCAATCTACACACAATACCCCATAATGACAAAGCAAAAACTGGTTTGTAGAATTTTTTGATAATTTATTTAAAAAAAAACTGAAATATCACATTGAAAGAAATATTCATACCCTTTACTCAGTACTTTGTTGAAGCACCTTTGGCAGCGATTTCAGCCTAGAGTCTTCTTAGGTATGACGCTACAAGCTTGGCACACCTCTATTTGGGGAGTTTCTCCTCTGCAGATCCTCTCAAGCTCTGTCAGTTTGGATGGGGAATGTTGCTGCACAGCTATTTTCAGGTCTCTCCAGAGATCGGATTCAAGTCCGGGCTCTGGCTGGTTCACTCAAGGACATTCAGAGACTTGTCCCGAAGCCACTCCTGCGTTGTCTTGGCTGTGTGCTTAGGGTGGTTGTCCTTTTGGAAGGTGAACCTTCTCCCCAGTCTGAGGTCCTGAGTGCTCTGGAGCAGGTTTTCATCAAGGATCTCTCTGTACTCTGTAGCTCAGTTGGTAGAGCGTGGTGCTTGCAACGCCAGGGTTGTGGGTTTGTTTCCCATGGGGAGCCAGTATGAAAATGTATGCACTCACTAACTGTAAGTCGCTCTGGATAAGAGCGTCTGCTAAATGACTAAAATGTAAATGTAAAAATGTACTTTGCTCCATTCATCTTTGCCTCGATCCTGACTAGTCTCCCATTCCCTGCCACTGAAAAACATCCCCACAGCATGATACTGCCACCACCGTGCTTCACCGTAGGGATGGTGCCAGGTTTCCTCCAGACGTGACACTTGGCATTCAGGCCAAAGAGTTCAATCTTGGTTTCATCAAACCAGAGAATCTTGTTTCTCATGGTCTGAGTGTCTTTAGGTGCCTTTTGGCAAACTCCAAGCGGGCTGTCATGTGCCTTTTACTGAAGAGTGGCTTCCGTCTGGCCACTCCACCATAAAGGCCTAATTGGTGGAGTGCTGCAGAGATGGTTGTCCTTCTGGAAGGTTCTCCCTTCTCCACAGAGGAACTCTAGAGCTCTGTCAGAGTGACCATCGGGTTTTTGGTCACCTCCCTGACCACGGCCCTTCTCCCCCGATTGCTCAGTTTGGCCGGGCGGCCAGCTCTAGGAAGAGTCTTGGTGGTTCCAAATTTCTTCCATTTAAGAATGATGGAGGCCACTGTGTTCTTGGGGACCTTCAATGCTGCAGAAATATTTTGGTACCCTTCCCCAGATCTGTGCCTCGACACAATCCTGTCTCTGAGCTCTACGGAAAATTCCTTCAACCTCATGGCTTGCTATTTGCTCGGACATGCACTGTCAACTGTGGGACCTTATATAGACAGGTGTGTCCCTTTCCAAATAATGTCTAATGAATTTAAGTTACCACAGAGGGACTCCAAATGAAGTAGTAGAAACATCTCAAGGATGATCAATGGAAACATGATGCACCTGAGCTCAATTTCGAGTCTCATAGCAAAGGTTCTGAATGTACAGTGAGGGAAAAAAGTATTTGATACCCTGCTGATTTTGTACGTTTGCCCACTGACAAAGAAATGATCAGTCTATAAATTTAATGATAGGTTTATTTGAACAGTGAGAGACAGAATAACAACTAAAAAATCCAGAAATACGCATGTCAAAAAGGTTAGAAATTGATTTGCATTTTAATGAGGGAAATAAGTATTTGACCCCCTCTCAATCTTTTATACAGGTAACGAGCTGAGATTAGGAGCACACTCTTAAAGGGAGTGCTCCTAATCTCAGCTTGTTACCTGTATAAAAGACACCTGTCCACAAAGAAATCAATCAATCAGATTCCAAACTCTCCACCATGGCCAAGACCAAAGAGCTCTCCAAGGATGTCAGGGACAAGATTGTAGACCTACACAAGGCTGGAATAGGCTACAAGACCATCGCCAAGCAGCTTGGTGAGAAGGTGACAACAGTTGGTGCGATTATTCGCAAATGGAAGAAACACAAAAGAACGGTCAATCTCCCTCGGCCTGGGGCTCCATGCAAGATCTCAACTCGTGGAGTTGCAATGATCATGAGAACGGTGAGGAATCAGCCCAGAACTACACGGGAGGATCTTGTCAATGATCTCAAGGCAGCTGGGACCATAGTCACCAAGAAAACAATTGGTAACACACTACGCCGTGAAGGACTGAAATCCTGCAGCGCCCGCAAGGTCCCCCTGCTCAAGAAAGCACATATACAGGGCCGTCTGAAGTTTGCCAATGAACATCTGAATGATTCAGAGGAGAACTGGGTGAAAGTGTTGTGGGCAGATGAGACCAAAATGGAGCTCTTTGGCATCAACTCAACTCGCCGTGTTTGGAGGAGGAGGATTGCTGGCTATGACCCCGAGAACACCATCCCCACCGTCAAACATGGAGGTGGAAACATTATGCTTTGGGGGTGTTTTTCTGCTAAGGGGACAGGACAACTTCACCGCATCAAAGGGACGATGGACGGGGCCATGTACTGTCAAATCTTGGGTGAGAACCTCCTTCCCTCAGCCAGGGCATTGAAAATGGGTCGTGGATGAGTATTCCAGCATGACAATGACCCAAAACACATGGCCAAGGCAACAAAGGAGCTGCTCAAGAAGAAGCAAATTAAGGTCCTGGAGTGGCCTAGCCAATCTCCAGACCTTAATCCCATAGAAAATCTGTAGAGGGAGCTGAAGGTTCGAGTTGCCAAACGTCAGCCTCGAAACCTTAATGACTTGGAGAAGATCTGCAAAGAGGAGTGGGACAAAATCCCTCCTGAGATGTGTGCAAACCTGGTGGCCAACTACAAGAAACGTCTGACCTCTGTGATTGCCAACAAGGGTTTTGCCACCACTAAGTCATGTTTTGCAGAGGGGTCAAATACTTATTTCCCTCATTAAAATGCAAATCAATTTATAACATTTATGACGTGTTTTTTTTTATTTTTTTGTTGTTATTCTGTCTCTCACTGTTCAAATAAACCTACCATTACAATTATAGACTGGTCATGTCTTTGTCAGTGGGCAAACGTACAAAATCAGCAGGGGATCAAATACTTTTTTCCCTCACTGTAAATAAGTTACAGTAGAAGTCGGAAGTTTACATACACTTAGGTTGGAGTCATTAAAACTTGTTTTTCAACCACTCCACAAATTTATTTTTAACAAACTATAGTTTTGGCATGTCGGTTAGGACATCTACTTTGTGCATGACACAAGTAATTTTTCCAACAATTGTTTACAGACAGATTATTTCACTTATAATTCACTGTATCACAATTCCAGTGGGTCAGAAGTTTACATACACTACGTTGACTGTGCCTTTAAACAGCTTGGAAAATTCCAGAAAATGATGTCATGGCTTTAGAAACTTCTGATAGGCTAATTGACATCATTTGAGTCAATTGGAGGTGTACCTGTTGATGT